TTAACAAAGCCTTCACCATGTCACTACATTCCCCTTTTCCAGAGCAGATGCAGCTGTCTGGCATGTGGGCTCCTACATGAAAAACAGAACACTGGCATTCAAGAAGACAGTAAAGGCTTCAAGTTTCTTCATTAATTTTAAAAGACGTTTTATCTACCAATGCCTGGAAGATAGCACATGTTGAGTGCTTTTTAATGAAGTTATTTTGAGGTCGATGCCCTTCTTTCCTTATTACTTTTATTAGATGGTTGTCTTAGTTAGGGTTACTATTGCTATAATGAAACACCATGACCATAAAGCAAGTTGGGGAGAAAAGGGTTTATTTATCTTGAAGAAAGTGAAGGCAGGAACTCAAACAGGACAGGAACCTGAAGGCAGGAGTTGATGCAGAGGCCATGGAGGGATGCTGCTTACTGTCTTGCTCATCATGATTTGCTCAGCCTGCTTTCTTATAGAATACAGGACCACCAGGCCAGGTATAGTACCACCCACAATGGGCTGGGCTCTCCCTCATCAGTCACCAATTAAGAAAATGCCCTACAGGCTTGCTACAGCCTGATCTCGCTAAGGCATTTTCTGAATTGAGGCTCCCTTCTCTCCAGCGGCTTTAGCTTGTGTCAAGTTGACATAAAGCTAGCCAGCACAGATGCTGTTGCTCTCCCAGGGAAACTCAAGGCAATGAGATTAGAGACTACGAAAGTGACAAAAATAAGAGCAAATTCTACTCAAGCTGTTGAGTTCTCCTTTTAAAAAAATTAATCGGCACTCTGTGGTCGCTTGTACTATGAGACAGTATGTTTAAAATAAACATACTGTATTTCTCATTTGTCAAAGGACACGTTTGGGCAATGTGACCTCCAAGGCTCCTTTTTTTTTTTTTTCTTTAATGATTGCTAGTGTTCATTTTGTCTCAGTTTTCTACTGGGAAATCATTCCTTTTTAAAGATCGATTTAATTTAATTTTATAAACATTGTGCCTGTATGCATATCTATGCGCAGTACAAGTATACCTGGTCCCTGTTGAAGCCAGAAGAGGGCAATCAAATCCCCTGGAACTAGATTTACACATGGCTGTGAGCTGCCATGAGACTGCTAGCCACTGGCTCTAGGTCCTCTAGAAGAGCAGCCAGTGCTCTCCACTGCTGAGCCATCTCTCCAGCACCCAGAAGCTGATTTTTATTAAAAGTTATATAGAGTGATAGGTTGTTTTTTTTTTAAAAAGCATTTAAAATAAAAAACACTTGGTAGTCATCCCCTCTTCTCTCTTTTTCTAAAGGCATGATTTGTACTCTGTATTAGTATTAATTTTGGCCCTTGAAAGAAAGTTAACAATGACAAGATGGAAGGAGATAAAGTTAATTCATTGATGTGTCCCACACGTTCCTGCTATTTGCCAATGTTTAACTTAGTCTTGGAAGCCCTGGAAATGATGTAGCCCTTTATCTCCCACGTCTCATGATGAAGACTCTTTCTGTTTTATAATGAGGTGCAAATTCTTATATTACATAATAGCATTGCAGAGTGCTTTGGGAAAAGTAGATAAGACAGTTAATTCTAGTATATGCCTATCCAAGAAAGTTTATGGTATCTATGCTGCTTGGTGTTGTCAATTCACACAAACCTAGAGTCATCTGGGAAGAGAAACCTCAATAAAGAAAAAGCCTTCATAAGACTGGCCTATAGGCAAGTCTGTGGAGCATTTTCTTGATTAATGATTGATGTGTGAGGGCTCATACCACTATTGGTAGTGCTACCCTTGAGCAGGTGACCCTGTGTTGTATAAGAAAGCAGGCTGAAGCTGGGCATGGTGGCACATTCCGCCGTTAATCCCAGCACTCGGGAGGCAGATACAGGTGGATCTCCTAGTTTGAGGCCAGGCTAGTCTACAGAGTAAGTTCCACAACAGCCAAGACTACACAGAGAAACTGTCTTGAAAAATAAAACCAATAAAACAACAACAACAACGAGAGAGAGAGAGAGAGAGAGAGAGAGAGAGGGAGGGAGGGAGGGAGGGAGGGAGGGAGGGAGGGAGGGAGGGAGAGAGAGAGAGAAGAAAGAATTAGAAGAGGCTTTGTAGTTTTGTATTGCTTTGCCATTCTATAAATACCCCGAGAGTCTACACTGTTGGATCCTATGCTACCCACTTGATGGTACTCAAGTATATGTGACTTAAAGGCTGAGGTCCCAGGATGTCTAGAATGAAGTCATCGTTAATCAGGACTTGGCACAGACCAAGCCCTGGTAGAGGAAGCCTGAGAAGAAATCCTGTTTGTATAAATCCCTCGCCTTCCAGCCCAAGGTTACAACACTTGGCAACCGCTCTAGCCTGCTAAGTGACTTGGACGTCTGTACAGTTGCTTAATCAGTAGGCTCAATCATTTGGGGGTTTTAATAACTTTTAATTATTTTGTGCATTCTATGATCCCGGTAGGTTCTGCCAAGATAATTCTGAGAGAGGGGAAACAGAGTAATGGGTGCAAGTTTGTGAACCAAAAAGGCACCCTGCATCTTGTCATACATATGGCACTAAAATTTACAGTCCTATTTATATCGATATCACTCTGATCTTAGTCAAGCTTTTTGTCTTTGAAACTTTATTTTGAAATGTGTGCCAGGCTCCTTAAGATCCAGAAACGGTCAGAGTGTCCCGTTTTCAAGTCCTGGCTTTGTGGAAACATCAAGTCAAATTTGGCAAGGCGTCCAGGCACCTGAGAACGTTTAGATTTGGTGTTTGTCAGTACTTAACTCGGCTTCTGAACACGACAGGGACACTGGTGTGGGACAAATCCATCCCAGCGTGGGGCATCTGTAATGGGTGGTTCTTTTCCCCAATGTCCCTGGCGAATCAGCTGATACTAAATCAGATCTGAATCATAGTTTTAGGCTTACTCTGCCCACTCCTGACCCATGCTGCAGCCTGAAGGATTTCCCTGCAGGATTTTTTCATCTCCTTGCGATCTTTCAGAAGCATCTCCCCCGGGACTCATCCACATTACCAACCCCATTGCAGCACCTGCTCCCAAAGGTTCCAAGTGACATGGTGGCTTTCTTAGACACTTTGAGTTTCAGTTCACCGTCCCCTTTTCAAAATACATTGCAACCATATACATCATCTGAATCTGGAGAAGTTAAATGAGGTAAAATGTCTAAAGTGAACCAGCTCATATTAGAGATTTCTGTACCTCTTTCTCTATGTGTGTTTCTTCTTCCTATGACTCACTGGGATGAGCTTTTCTCCTTCCTTCCTTCCTTCCTTCCTTCCTTCCTTCCTTCCTTCCTTCCTTCCTTCCTCCAACTACTGGCATATTGAAATAAGATATATTTTTGAGCATATTCACTAACTCTGATATTGATACTATATGGGGGGAAACTAGAAACACACAATCATAATTACATCTCTAAGCATCATGAGAGTAGGGACTTTAGATATTCTTTTATGAAAAATGATCTTCGAAGATCGCTAACCTGGAATGTCAAGAGACACTGTCTAAGGAGAAAAGACCTGATTGGGTCTGCAAGGATGACTATACCAAGACTCCAAGACACAAACAAAAGTTTCTAGGTATAGTAGAATGTGCCCGAAACCTTAGAACTCAGAAATCTGGGGCAGGAGGATCATAAGTCCAAGCTATCCTGGCCTAGCTAGACCCTATCTGAGAGAGGATGGGGAAAGAGGCTGAAGACACCACCAAAGGACATGGTAAAATTGGATAAAGTGAAAATCATCTCCACACATTACCCAGCAAACTGGAGGATAAGGAGGTGTATCCCAGAAGAGTGGCCTGGGGAGAGGTAGGGTGGGGAATTTTTGTCCTATTTTATGGAAAAGAACACTTAGCTAGAAAGTTTGGCCCAAAGTCTTACAATGGTAAAAAAAAAAAAAATCTTTGAGATACACCCCATCTTTGAGTCTATTCTACCTGAGAGTGATGAAGCTTTGCTCCAAGGGCTCTAAGATGATCCAGGTAAGGTTCTTGGGTCTTAATTAAAGGACAGCCTTCGGGAACTGATGAGGGGATACTGGCAACAACCTCAAAAATCAGCGCTTAAGGCCTTTTCCGAGAGATTCCCTGGGCTCCATAGCTTAAGGAATGTGAGCACACTTTCAAAGAAACACCAGCCAGGGTACACATTCACAGCCTTCAATTCCCCTGAATCAATCAGGCTTAAGTGATGTTAAGGGCCTGACAGAGCCACAAAAGAAAGAACAATCTCTAACCTCAGAATTGAAGCTGATTCTGGGACCCTAATCTTAGCCATTGTGTCTGGCCTTGTTTGCAGGCCCAGGTCTGGTTCTCATTGACTTTGTGGATTTAAATAAAATCCTTCACATACCTTGAATTAGGGTTTGTGTCAATGACATTTCTTTTATTATAAAATAAAAGAAGAAAGAATAAAAAAAAAAAAACCCAGCCAAATCCCTACGACCCAAGCCACTGATCTGTTGGGCACAGGCTGTCCCAATAGTTGAAGAGAATCTTTTCCTTAAGGAAAAAAAAATGAGGGTGACATCATTGTGGGCAATGCCACTCAAGGGGTGAGGTCCAGCTCCATTTCCAGAGCCAGATGGGCTTGAGCTGTGAGCCGTTCCCACCACTGCTAGTGTTTGTTGGGATGAAGTCTCTAATGCAAACCATACAGGACCAGGCGGCTACTACAGGGGACTCGGTGACAAACTGTGGGACAGCTGCAGAGGCAAAGCAGGGTTTGCATTGCCATTAATCTAGAGAGAAACCACATGCCACACTGGATGGGAGCACAGAAGCTCACGGGGCTCAACTCCTCTCCTTTCTAGATGAAGAAACGAATTGCGCGAGGTTTGATCGAACAGGTGACTCTCTGCAAATCAAGGTCAAGTTCACAGCACAGGCAGAATTCGAGTCCAGACTTTCTGGTTTCCAGTCCATTGCTCTTATTTGGCTCAGCTACTCGGAGGCAATGAAAAGCTTCTGGTTCCAAGTTTTTATTTCCATTTGGGTGAGAAAAAGGGGATAGGATGCTAAAAGAACAGGCTGCCCAGGGAATTGGGGTGGGAACAGCACTGGCTGCAATAAAAATGCTGAAGGCACAGCTCTAGATTTTACACTAATGTCACCATCGCCCACATCCTGGTACACGCGTGTCTTCCCCTCGTGGCTCTGGGTACCTCTAGATCTGGTGGTTGCCTAGGACTTCTTACTAGTACTGAAGAGGCAGCTGCTGTTGACGGCCGTCTCTTTTCTCACGTCCAATGCTGTAGTTAGCTATGGAAACACAAGATACAGGTAATGAGGTAGAAAGAAAAACATCAAAGTTGAAAAGACCCTTGGGAGATCAGCTTGTTCTGAGGAACAATTGACAGGAAGGTGAGTCACAGCTCTGGAAGGAAAGAGAGCTGATGGCCAAATGGACAAGTATGGTGTAACTCAAACTTACAAGGACCCCGGTGCAGGACATCTCGGGGGCTTTACTGACATAGTCATGATGTACATTGGGAATTTTCAAGAGCAAAGAGAAGACACAGATTTTCCCAGGCTTGGCCCTCTTTTACTCAAATGACAAGGACATAGACTAATGTTTCTTATAATGTTTAAATATCGGTCATTTCCAAAATCACATGAGGAAAGGGGTCAGAGGAGTAACGTCTTTTAGGTCATAGAACTTATCAGTGAGGAACCAGGACTCAGACCTAAACCTTCAGTCAATAGCCACAGGGGCAGATTTCTCTCTCTCTCTCTCTCTCTCTCTCTCTCTCTCTCTCTCTCTCTCTGTCAGAGCTCTAAAGCTGTCTCTCTAATACACATGTCAATCAGTGGGAAGACTGGTACTTGGGACAGTTTGTTGCTTTCCCTGTGTTTTCTTCTGTGGGCTTAGTCAAAAGCCCAAGGAGACACTTTTCTCCCTGTTTACAGATGAAAACTGAGGTCCTGCTAGAGTAGCGCCGTGGCCAAGAGGTAGCGCTCAGATAAAGAATAAATGGAAGAGCTGGAGAGATGGCCCAGCCGTTTACAAAGCCTACTGATCTATCAGACGACCAGAGTTCTGATGGCAACATCACACTGGGAAGCTCAAAGATGTATGTAACTCCTGCTCCAGGGGACCTGATGCCTCTGTGGACACCTGTACACACATCTGCATTTATATACACATGCATATACATACACACATACATACTTATACACACATATATACATACACACATACATAACATGCACATACACACACACACAAACACACAATCTTTTGAAGAAACAAATTAAGCCAGTCCAACAGGAGACTGAGGTACCATAGAAACCCAGTCTCTTGGGATTTCAAATTGCTTACCATCCTTGTCTTAAATTCTTTGTGCTTGTCTCACAATAGAAACCCCCTGACAAGTTAGTCTTGGAAAGCATGGGATTGGACTTTAGCTCTGAGATGCACATGTTATGAGAGTATGTATGATCGTCAGCAACACAGTCATTGTATTTTCATTTGCTTTGGCCAGCATGGGATATGTGTGTGTGTGTGTGTGTGTGTGTGTGTGTGTGTGTGAGATTCCTCTTCAGGAGTACATGACAAGACCCTGTCTCAGAAACAAAACCATCATCATCATCACAACAATAAAACAAACAACCCCTAAAACGTGGGGCAAATGGAGTAGTGTAATGACATGGGAGATGTTTTGCTACTACTGAGATAGGTAACTAGTCCCGGTGCTTGTCCCAAGAGAGGTCACAATGACAAATGAATGGGTAGCGGAGTATTGAGGGCTCCTGGTCACCACAGCAGAGTCACTTCTGCCAAACTGGAACTGCAGGTGTGACTTCCATTCACATCTCAGACCCAACCACTCCATAGCTCAGCCCCACAGCCACACACACATGGTACACACATTAGTAAGGGCAGCCTCTCCCAGAGACTTCCATCAAAGACTTCCCCGCCATTCAGAAGGCATTAGCTCAGCCCTCCCACACTTCCATTGTCTTTTCGAAGTCTGTCCTGGCACCACAGAAACCCCACATCTTGGGATTTCAAATTGCTTACCATCCTTGTCTTAAATTCTCCGTGCCTGTCTCACAATAGGAACCCCCTGACAAGTTAGCCTTAGAAGGCATGGGATTGGACTTTAGCACTGAGCTGCACATGTTATGAGAGTCTAGGTATTATCATTAGCAACACAGTCGTCGTTAACATCATCACCCCCATGTCTGTGTTTATTGTTGGCTTCTACCATTGTCAGCGATAACAATGACCTATCATCATTTGTAGTAACTGTTGTGATTGCCCATATCTTATAGATCAGAAAATACGACCCCAGAGAGACTAACCTGGATCTTTTATCTATTGACTTAAGCAGATAGGAGTTTGAGCACAAGGAATCCCAGTGGATAAAATAGCCCTTTGGAAGTGGTATGATGCACCTGTGCGCTTAGGTGTCAGCGATTCTCCTCTGCTGTCAGGAGCCAATGAGCTGAGGACGATCATCCCTATAAGACAAAGGGACCAAATCTCACATCCAGCCGAAAAGAGTGGTAGCCAAGCATCTAGAACGAAGACCTGTTTGTCCTTCTACACCCAAACGATTTGGGCTCTGCGATGGGAATCTGTCCAGGCCACAGTCTCCTTGTTCACAAATGCAGGTAATAACAACACTGTTCTCCAACTGACTGCCGTGAGGATCCAAGCAGACTGTGGTCTGTGAAAGATCTCCTAAACCAGGTGATGATAACGGTTGCCTGTCTCATCTTGGTCTATGCAAACCCGCTTCGAGGAAGGAGTTGTCTTGGAGGAGTGCCATCTGCTGTCTGGGTTCCTGGGCTGGCTGGACAACAGATACACTCACCTAATTTTTTTAGGGTCTTGTAAAAGGTATGAGGTAATTTGTCTTTGTTAGTGAAAGATTTAGTGATGAATTCACCCTGCGGTGTAATTAGCCCCAGGCCTGCCCGTCCCAGAGGGGATCCCTTCCTATCTTACCAAAACACAGGCAACCTGAGGCTGAGGGGTATGTCATTCTGTGGAGTCCAGGCTAATCTAGCAGAAACGCTTTGAGGCAACAAGTCTTTACTCCTACCACCCCTGAAAGCCTGCACTCTTCCTCAAAGCAAAACAAAAGAGTACCTTGTGCCAGCATTAAAGTTGAATGACATTAAACCCCAGCTAATAACTTTGCAGAACTGCTGAATGCTTGATCTGTGTTCTGCTCTGGCTTCCTCAGTTTGAGGGGTGGGGGAGGGAAGCACAAAACAAAGGGGTGTAGTTAGGAAGCTGGAGGCACTTGTCATACCCATCCTTGCCCGGGGGATGTGCCTCTACTTGATTTTCAAGAGTCTGAGCATAAAAGCTAGGGGGTTGCCAGCTTACCTCAAAAGAAACAGGAGGGTTTGCTGGAGGGAGTCTGTACTTTCCTTTTCAAGCCCTGTTTTGTTTCTAACCACAGAGCAACCCCAAGTGTGAGTGAGCTTTGCCATCCTGCCCCAGAGGTTTAGACCATTTGACTATCAAATGACCTTAGGGCAGCTTAATGCCCTCCCTCCTTGGCTTTGTCAAAATGTTGATTGCTTTGTAAGTTTCTTCTCTTTGGGCTCTTCAGTAGTAAAACATTCTTTGCCTAATGATTGAAGATAAGTAGGAGAAGAAAAAATTCTACAGGAACCCATCTGGCCGCCATAGCATGGGTGAGCTTTGATGGCTTCTGCCTTCACAGGCTCAAGTCCACGTCATGAGTCACATGCTCCAATCCATCCTAATGCTCCTTGGGGTCACTCATTTCGGTGTTCACAATGAAGCCCCATACAGTCTTTGCAGACTATCAGTTTGCCACCAGAATCTCTCCTATATTCTGAAGGAAGTGCTGAACCAGGATTCAGAGATGATGGAACCAGGGACCCAGCAAGTACCATAATCATGGTGGTGACCAAATTTGTGGGAAGGAAGAAAGTCTGGATTTACTTCCTAGAGGACCTATGAAATGACACTTCAGATGTCCAAGGTCAAACCTCGCTGTCTAAATCCCTTGCTATAAATATTTTCATGCTGGATTCATCTTTATCACACAGGGCCTTTCATGATCTGATATGTAAATACTAGTTCTCACCTCTGAGATAGCCAAGTGCATTGTGGGCACAGGATCATACCAGTGTAAGTACGTTTTTCCTGCCAGGCCTTCTCCCATAATATCTTCTCTGATTCCCTGATACCAATCTTTGAGAACTTCTCTGAGTAGGCTAGTTATGTTCTCCCACCTCTTCTCCTGAAGATATCGTGACCCCTTTCCTCCATTACCCCAATCCTCTTTGTCCCTTGGTGCAGGAGAATTGTCTGTATTCTGTCAATCATGTCATAAATAAACACTGATTGGCCAGGTAGGAAATATAGGCGGGAAAACCAGACAGTAAGTAGAAATGATGTAATGAGAACAGGAGACTTCTGGGAAGGCGGAAGTTGATTCCTCCCTCTCCTGCCCAGACCACAGAAGCAGCAGGATGTCATCTGCCCCACTGAAAAAAGGTACTGAGTCACATGGCTAACATAGATCAGAAAAATGGGTTAATCAAAATGTGAGAGTTAGCCAGTGAGAGGCTAGAGCTAATGGGCCAATCAGCTTTATAACTTACAGAGATCTTTGTGTGATTTTCTTTGGGACTAAATGGCTGGGGGACCAGGTGGGACAGAAAACACAAATAAGCAGGATGGCCAGCCCCTCATGTTACAGTCCCTCAAAATTTTATTTATTGGAGTCACTTTGAATTTACTATAATATTTTAGGGGGTGAGGGTGGCTACTTGTTTTCTTTTTTCCAGAAAAAAAAAAGAGTGGTAGTTTAAATGAGATGCTCATGAGATTTTCCAGAGCGTATCACTAATATCATTGCAAGTTGGAGCAGAATTCATCTTCAGTCAGATCTGGGATAGCAACAGACTTGAACAATGGAAACTATTTAATCGAAAGTTAGGTTGTTCATTCTACACCCAGACTCCCCAGATTATCTGCAAATACCCTCCTTAAAATGCTGGAGGGAGACCACAAAATAAAGATTTTTCTATCTACCCCAGTTAAGGCTGAGAACATGGGTAGGAAATAGCCAAGGTACCATAGAATCCCAGAACTAATGACCAGAAACTTGAGACCACCTGGACCAGCCCCACACATGATAGCAACTTCTTAGGTGATACCGAACAGATCCAAAGGATAAACAGCTGGCTGAGCCCATTCCGGGGTAGGACTCTTGAGCTAACACCATCATAGCTCCCAAGTTGTAACACTGGGCTCGTGTTAGGTAGCCACAGACAGCTTCCCTCCGTGCGCTGGAAAGTTTGCAGATGTGTGCATCTTTTGTGCATGAGAAGGCAGATGGTTCCCATGAGAAAATCCTCCTCCCCTTGTGCCCCTTATCCTACTAATACCTACTGGCTACTGTTAAAATTTGCAGACAGCCGTTGGTGTGGACAAGGCTCCTACACTGTCCTCAGCAGACCAAACCAAGGCAGTCTTTAATGACAGTAGCTAAGCTCCGGTTAATTGCAGACTGCCCTGAGACCACTTACCCAATTAAGCTGTTCCCAGCTCAGGTCTCCACGCAGTCCTCCGGCTTTAGATGAAGGCTGTCAGCCCATGCTTTGGTGGGAATTCACAGAATGTTCTTTTAGTTCCAGGAGCTGCATGTTTCGTGAGTTACTTTGTTTTGTTTTGCTCAAGTAAACTCTACTAAATTTAATTGGTCTGAGGAATTTTCCCTTCTTAGCACTGTTCGCGTCTCAGATTGGACGGTGTTCGTCTGGGAATTGTTCCTGCTCCCTCACCCGCCCGGTCCTCACCCCTGTGAAAGTGCTTTCTCATGGCCTCCTTGGCGTTTTGCTCCTTCCTCTGGGTGTTTTTTTTTTTTAAAAAAACTATTATTATCACATCTGTTTATGTATTTTATTTTCTCTGTGTCTGTTTCTCTGTGTCTCTGTGACTGTCTGTCTGTCTGCCATAAACTACAGTGAGGATGTGAAAATCAGAGGACAACTTACCAGTGTCTGCGATCTCCTCCCACTGCATGGATCTTGAGGATCCAGATCAGCTGGTCAGGCTTGGCAGCAAGTCTTCCCTCCTGTGCCAGCTCACTGGGTCTCTTTCCTCTGTAATACATCATGTGTCTTCCATCCTAAGGCTGTACCTCCCAAGACTGAAGGCTTGATAAGGTAAGACCAGCACCTATCTTGACTGGTATTGTATTCCCAGCAGCCAGCTTAGCACAAGGCATATATAAAAGATTCCTTTTTAAAAATTATTTATTTATTTATTATGCATACAATATTCAGTCTGTGTGCATGTCTGCAGGCCAGAAGAGGGCACCAGACCTCATTACAAATGGTTGTGAGCCACCATGTGGTTGCTGGGAATTGAACTCGGGACCTTTGGAAGAGCAGGCAATGCTCCCAACCACTGAGCCATCTCTCCAGCCCCGTAAAAGATTCTTTTATCTATGCCATCAGTCCACCAACTCCATCAACCCTCCAATCAGGACACGGGTTTGATGATGGGTCCCTACTATGGATGTAAGACAGTGGTTCTCAACCTTCCTAGTGCTGTGGCTCCTTCATTCAGTTCTTCATGCTGTGGTAACTCCCAAACATAAAATTATTTTTGTTGCTACTTCATCACTGTAATTATGCTGCTGTTATGAATCATAATGTAAATATCTGACATGTGACTCCAAAGGGGTGGGGATCCATAGTGTTAATCCCACTGATCGAGAATAAGACCACTACCATAGTTTAAATCCAAGTTTGAAGCAAGCTTTAATTAAATATTGGCCAGGTGGACGGGCTCTGGCCAGGTCCATACACGGGTTCCCAGGGAAATGCCCAGAATTCGTGTTTGTAGAGGCTTAAGAAGGAGAACCCATAATTCATTGCATTTTCTATCAGGGCCAATCTGGGCAAGCGTATATTCTGATGCGTTTTCTGACTGCGATCCTCCCACCCACATGTGATCAAGCCTGTCTGGCGCAGATAGGTCAAACAAACTTGTTAGGGGGGATGAAAATCACAGGGCTAGTTATCTCCCATTGACAAAAGCCTCCAGCATTTCAGGAACTGTCTGTCCTTGGGCAAGGGGCTTGCAGATCGGAGGCACTTCTGTTTCACTGATCTCTTAGGCACAGTAATAAAAACTTATGGTGTCTGTAACTTTGGCTCTCACAACGGGTGGGGAAGTGCTGACGTAAGGATTCTGCTCCTCCTCAGCATCCATTGGCGGGAATCTGACCAAGCCCTCCCCAGATCATCAGAGTGCAGGTGCAAGGCTCTCCCCATTACCTCTCCCCCAGCCTACAGTGTAAGGAACAGATTCACCACCAACTCTGGAGGCCTGGCCCAGAGTCTTAACCCACTGGCCTGACACTCTTCTGACCCTTCTCCAGTTGCCCAAACAGATTTCCAAAAGGTTGCCCCTGAAGCTCGGCATCACCAACAGGGGTCTGACCATGGCAGGGTAGAAAAAACTGATGGCATCTGCAGCTTAGAACCTCTCTCTCTCTCTCTCTCTCTCTCTCTCTCTCTCTCTCTCTCTCTCTCTCTCTCCCTCTCTCTCTCTCTCTCTCTCTCTCTCTCTCTGTGTGTCTCTGTCTCTCTCTCTGTCTCTATCTCTCTCATGTTATACAGCGGCAGGCACATGCAGAATAGTCACTCTGGTGTAGAAAAGGATATTCCAACAAGGAGAACCTCTAAACCAACCCTTCCACACCCAGCAATGGGGTCTTAGCTCCCTCTGCCGTTCTTTAAGCACAGTATGTGGTATCCTGAGGTATTTAGAGAAGAGTTGTTGGATCTCTGGGCAGATGCTGCCATCTCCTGGTTACAGTTACACATAGCGACCCTGCAGAGTCAGACTAGATGCCTGAAGGGCTGGGTCCATCTGACTCACATCTCCAAACAGATCTGGAAGGTGTGAAAGCTCAAAGGACAAGCAAGATGACTGGCACAAGCACTTCCAATGGCCTCAGAGTGCTTTCCAGGCTGGTGAGCACCCTTTCCTTAGAGCTGAATGTTTTCTTTTGGAGGTAGACAGAAGGCCCATAAGACTGGATGCTCAGAACCAGCGAGTCACAAAATCCCTCCCCCAGGTTATGGAAGCAATGAGAGCAGAAGGAGTGAGGAGAGATGCCAAGCTGTGTCGCTCCTGGGGCAGCTTTCATGAGCTGTCGCCCATGCTGGGGCAGGCTTTTCATTGATGCCCCCACTGTTTGAAGGGACCCAGGTACATGCATAGTTTACCAGGCTAGAACTGGGTGGAATCTTTGGTCTACTGTTCTCTCCTTTGGCCATTGTTCTGAGTGAGGAGATGTTCGCCTGCATCTCCTAGGGAAGATCACACAACCCTGCCACCCACATACCAAACTTACCTCAGCTCATTGTTTTATGGTCTCTGAGACACCTTTCTGAGGCAAATGGGGCTCGAGGGACCAGTGTTATGGATGATGCCATCATTGCAGAAAGGGTAAGAGAAGCAATTTTACTAAAAGTCTTTTACATTTTTTTACGTTACCTACACATTAAAACAAATACATATGTATTCATATATATATATGCTCATATATAGGTTTTGTGATTAAAGGAGAGGAGACCATGAATTGGGGAGGGAGTGGGGGAAACATATATGGCCAGGGCTATGAGCAAGGAGAGAGAAGGAGGAAATAGTATAATTATTTCTAATTAAAATTTTAAATGGGGAAACATAAATCAAATGCACATGTATTTTAGAGTAAAATGTTGTTTTTATTAGGTTTCTGTTGCTGGGATAAAACACCATGACCAAAAGCAACTAGGGGAGAAGATGGTTTATTTCACTGTACAACTCTCAGAGCAGACCCCATTACTGAGAGAAGTCAGGGCAAGAACTCAAGGCAGGAATCCAGAGGCAGGAGCTAATGGAGAAGCTGGGAGGAATGCTGCTTACTGCTGGCTTCCTTTCTATAGCTTTTTCGGCTGGCTTTCTTATATAGCTCAAGACCGCCCACAATGAACTGGAGTCTAGCATATCAATCATTTATCAAGAAATTGCTAACAGACCAATTTGGTAAGGACATTTTCTCACCTGAAAGGATTTGCATTTTTTTCCCTGTGAAGAAACAAGTGGAGATGCAGATATGCTTATCAAGATTTACACGTCATACAATGTATACAGGTACCCAGACAGCCTGGGGCACTCCACCATATGTACAAGTTGAATGTGTCATTTAAAACTCTATAAGAGACCAGACATGAAAACACATACCTGTAATCTCAACATTCTGGAGGCTGAAACAGGGGGTTTCTGTAAGTTCAAAGTCAGCTTGGACAACACAAAACATGCCAGGCAAGCTAGGACTAAATAGCAAAACATTGTCTGAAACAAAACAAATAAGTAAAAATTGTAATGTGTCCAGAGTACAGTATCCAAAGTAAGCACAAATAAATAACAATTCCTGCCTTGAGAGATTTGGGGGTGGGCAGGAAGGAACCCAGGGCAGGGAGAGGCGGCACTGGAAAGGTATACCTGCATAAGATCAGGAGGGAGGGCCTGGCTTTCTGGAACAAGGATTTGGGGCTTAACCCTGTGGTTCGTAGGAACTCTCCAATGTAATAAAGTGGTATAAGCTATTTTTTTCTGATCATATTGTGGTTGGTAAAAGGGCATTTGATGAGATTAGAGGCATAGTTAGAAGTTAGATTCTTGGAGTAGCCAGACCAGGGGCAATCTCACAGGGAAGGCAGTAGCACTAAGAAAAAGATGGCAAGAAGGTAGGTGCTGGGGGCAGAGGAGGCAGATAGAAGGGGATGGTTATTTACAGTGTGAATTTTGAGCCCACTCATTTTAAGTATTCCCATCAAGAAACTTATTTCTAAACTGGATTCATGAGAAGGAATGCTATTACTAAATGTGGCTACCTAATGTGAGTTGTCTTTAGGAGGAGGGTGCAAAGACATCAAATAGAAGGGAAATAAATTACATTATAAAAAAATAGTTGTTTGCCCATGGTTTTATTTAAAAGGGGATCTTCAAAGTTTAGAGTTGTATTTCAGGCCTCTCGACCCCAAACACAGGTTTATTTCTTAACACTTTGAAAGGCGATTAACGCTAACGTTATTGTGCCGCCTGACCTGCATAGAGCGTGATGACATTTGCCCCACACTGATCTAAGTTTCTGATAAAAGAAGACTACCTTGCTGGCATGTGAATGGCCTTTAATTCCAGTACTCAGTATGCAGAAGCCACTTGATCCCCTGTGAATTCAAGGCCAGAATACACACAGCAAGTTCTAGGCCAGCTAGGGCTACCTAGTGAGACCTTATCTCCAAAAAAATAATTCTATTTTGACAGATGTAAATGATTATTGTTTATAGCTGAGGTATAGGTTAAACACAGATATGCCTATCCTTCACACCAAGTTTTGTACTTTTTAATTCCCTTCCACAGAGGTGAGAGGTGGCATTGCAGACGAATCCGTTAGGGCTGGGTACCCCACAGTCCTCTAGTCTCTGTGTTTTTATGACAGTGCATTCAAGACACCTCTATGATGTGGCTGTATAGAGAATACCTGCATGATGTTACAACATCAGGATACAGACCAATGTGCACAGGGGAAATTTCACATGATCCCTGCCCCCCCCAGATGAAGAGCTATCTGAGGTCAATGGCTGCTC